GTATATTCATCTCTTCTGTTAGATGTTCTTTGCTGCTGGAATATAACAAGGACTCATGTAACCAACACTGTTACCAGGTGGTCAGCGGGCTGCCCATGAGACAGTTGAATGGATGGCAACGTTTGCTCACAAAACTGTCGGGAGCGCTGTAGGCCTGGCACTGCTGTCTAGCAGGGTTGGGTGTTTAGCTCCTGTGCCTGATAGGGTTGTGTGTTTGGCTGTGAAATGCCTTCTAATAACCGAGACGTGAATGCAGCTTTCCATGCTCATCAAGGAGGCTAGAGAGAGTGTGGGGCCTTGAACTGCATTTCATGGCACTTTAAGCTGTGTAGCGTTATTAATAAAAATGCAAATGAATTATTGTACTACATGATGTGCATTGCGAGATCCCTTGAAATAAGGAATCTATGCGGATGGGAAATACTAGAGAATTTTGTGGCGAGTGTGGTAGGACTTGTGCAAAAAAGGCATTGTGTCCAGAATGCATTGGTTTTGCCTTGAATATCCACTGGGTAGATAACAATCTTGTTATTTAGTAGGCATGCTGTGTTGTCAGATATTCTAAATGTTACAACAGTTATGTCACCGTTGCATCTACTTACTTTCTGCAAATGTGCCTCTATGCAGAATTGAGTCTATTGAAAAAAAGAAGTTTGTTAGTGCTATTCTTGTCTTCCAGGTGTTGCAATGTGTGCTGGATATAGTGGATCTGATATGTAGACAAAATACATGGATAAAATAAATAATAAGGTATATAGCTAATTTGTAGGGTTTACAGGATGTCTTTGTGAACTTAATGTACATAAAACACCTTTGATATTTGAAGATCCTAATTCTGTATTAATTTGCAGGCTAAAAACTAGAAATAAGACCAAGAGATTTTTTTCTTTTCAATCCAAATGTAAATTCTTGCTTCTTTATGGAGCCTTTACTATTAGCTACTTGTCAAGGCTTGTTTAATCTTGCCTTCCTCCTTTTGATAAATATGAAGAATTTATACCCACTTGTGCTTTTTGGAAGGTTATAGCAGCATTTCTGCATCTGTATTCAGGAATACATTTGTGCATTTAATCAATTAGATGTAATTGCTGGTTGGCTGTCACAGAAACACTTCTAAACTCAAATGGCATAATTGTGAGGATAAAGGTTTTCTGAAATACATAATCAAGATGTTTATGCCTTTTAATGTTTTTGTTCAATCATTTTTTTCAGCTGCAGAGCTTGTACTGAAATTAATGCACGTTGTGTGTGGCATTTATAGCAATTTCATTTTGGAAGGTGTATGTAGAGACTATTAATGAATGAGGGACAGGATATGATTGTCCATCTTGGTTTTCAGTTTCAGGTCTGTCCAAAAAGTTTGTGTGTTTCCACACCTGGGCACCGAACTGATCTATTTCAGCGGGACCCTCAAAATGTTCTGATAACAGACTTCTTCGGCAGTGTGAGAAAGGTGGAAATTACAACAGAGACAATTTCTTTGGACCGTGACTTAGCCGGTTTTGAAAGCAAGTAAGTAGTCATTATTTAGACTTGATTTATGTAGCTCTGTGCCACAGAAAGAAAGAAGTCATGTAACTGTCAAGGAGAGAACTCTGATTTCCTGTCATTTCTTACAGACGATCAGGGAGTTAGTATGGACCTGCTACTACTGATAATGTTGGGGTTTGTCAGCTAAAAACTTTGTATTTAAAAATTCTCACCCCTTTATTCTGTCTTGTAAATAAATACTGCTAAAGACCAAGGTGGGGATGTCAACAACAAATAATTAGTCTAAAATTTTCTTTCTTCCTTAGCGCTTCTTTAACGTGCAGAAACGTTTTGTTACTGTCGATTCCTGCTTGTAATAGTTTACTCCCTCAGATAAGCTCTGAGTGTAAGCCATTAGTTAGTTGTTTCATAACAACTAGCTTTTTAATAAGTGCTTTGTTGCTGTTCTGGGAATTATCTAGCTTTTGACATTAACTGTCCTGAGGGTTTCTGTTGCTGAGATGCAACGATTGATTTGAATAAAGTTGCTGGTGCGAGTTCATTGACAGAAGTTGTAACAGGGCTTCCATTACTTTGTGGATGAAGAAAGAATTATAAACTTCTTTGTATTTTTGGTATTCTGTTGCCACCTATTGGGAACATGTAAAGGAAGATGTGCTTCCACTGTAGAGTTCATTTAGCACTGTGCTTCCATTTCTGTTGCGTCTTTTACGTTTCATGATACTGTCCTCTAGGAGGGGAAAAAAAAGATTGAAATAGTCTGCTATATCAGGGGTGAAATATTTTTCATCACATAAATGTGTGTGAATTATTGTCTACCTTGTTTACTGTTGCTCAAATCAGAGAACAAGGTAGTGGATAGCATTTTTATTAATTTTAAAGATAACAGTAACTCTGGTGCTCCTAATTAAAAATGTCCCACACAGTTTGGTGTATTTCATATTTTATTTTCATATGCATGTTAGTACTAACCATATATATCTTAAGCTAATTTCATGACTCCTTAGTTTAGAAGAGTGTTTAGTGACAGTAAATTTGTTTTTTCTCTGAACAATAAAAAACCTTTTGGCAGATAACAGACATTCTTCCAGTCAAAAACCATGATGAAAACCTACCTATGTGGGTTTCTAATTTGTGGACCATTAAAAGGAGGAATATGTTTTGGACAAATTTGCTGTTCTGAAGCAGGAAATTACTGGGTGGGATTTTCATCTTTCATGTTGGAGTTAGTTTGGTGCCAGTGTATGAGGGTTTTTTTAGGTGTGTGACACTACTGAATTGGACGCATGGCAGCAGTGTTGAGAAATGGGCACTCCTGCACAGATAGGAATATTATCTTTGTGAAATGTTCTGATATTTAGTGAAAGCTGTATTACATTTACATTATCATGGCAATTCCAGTTACCTTAAATGTGTGGAATTGGAAGGGATGGAAACATGCTCGTTTGATAGCTGAATAGTTCTCCTTTACCTTGAGAAGTCTTTGAATGGAAGCACACAGCAGCAGCTTATGGAATACTGCCTCACGACTGTGATTTTTAAGTGGTCTCGTGTAAAACAGTGGCTTATTCATTGTACGATACTCAAATACAATGGTTTTTTTCAGCAATTCAGTTCTCAGTTTCTTGTTACCACTTTGGAAGAGTTTATACAGAATGTGTTTTTAATGGAGAAGAAAGTTATGGACTTTGTAGATAAGTGTTGGAAAATTGTAGTATAGCTATATAGATAGTGATGTGGAATGCTCAATACAGTCCTTAAACAGAATTCTGAGGTCAGTACCCCTTGGTATGACGGATCTGTTTCACTGCAACAAATTTAAGAACTATAGCTTGAAGTGAATTTATTAATTAAAAATGTTAATGCTTTTTAAAAATGCAATTTTGAAGGGTCTGCTCTGCAAGAACTAGTTACTCTGGTTTTATTTAAAGAGAATTATAAACATTACACACATCTGTTTCTGAGGGTGTTAAGAAGTCAGAACACTAAATAAATATGTGATCTTTGAATAGATACTATCCAGATTTTCCCAAATTAATGTAAGAATGACGCTTGAATGAGAGAGTGTGAGTGCATATTCTTCACCTCCTCAGTGTTAAACCATGCTATGCCTTTTGGGAACGTGATGGCTGTTGTGTCATTGAGAGAGATCTAAACCAATCTTATTAAGAATGAGTAATCCTTCCAAATTAGTCATGAATAATCTCGTTCATGCTTATTATTTTAAAAGCCTTTGTGAAGAGGAAAGAAGTCATGTGGGATTGAACTTGTGCCCCTGAAGGGTTGGCGAGAAGTATTTACCAGGAAATGCCTGATAAATCACAAATATGTACCACTAATACAAATTTTGATGTATTACATTGATTACTGAGTGCAAAGATCTTTTTTTATTCTGACAAAATCTATGCAGAATTGAAAGTCTTTTCCTTTATTCTGTTTTGCACTGGTTACATTTTTTTCCTAAAAGATAGTTTGTAGAGGTTTTATTGGTTTAATATTTGATATAGTCGCTTGGTGTCATTCCATTATGAGTAATTTCCTCTTTCTTTTATTCTTCTCTCAGTGTTAGCTTGGTACCCTTTTCTTTTCCTTTTGCACACTGGTGGCAGTAGAATGCTGCAGAATATTTGCTTTACGGTGCATAACCAGAAAATGAAATAGAGACCTCAACTCTGACGCAGTCTGAAGTAGTCCGCGTTAGATCTGTTTGTTTTAGAGCTGCAAGTGTCGTATGTGCAGATAGGGGCATTAAAAAACAAATGAACAAAAGGGATGAACCGCTGATTGCACAGATGATGAGTAAAGAAGATGCTGTTGCGTGAGGCGTGGACACGTATTGGGATCGTACTGCTGGCAGGCTGTGCGAGGTCTCGTCTCACCCACTGCTGGGACTTTGCTAAATCTTTCCGACAGAACTTTGTTCGTTTGTTACACAATTGCGTAGCAATTACTTCATCACACGGATCCACTCCCGAGCTCAGCGTGAGCTGTAGCTGTGCAGCCAGATCAGAACTGGCAGTTTCATGCTGAGCCCAAGCCGTGACATTTGACGAGTGAGGCCTTTGAAGTTTCCTCTGGCTTGGGCTGAGACCCCTACAAAGAAACAACTACTAATTAACCAAAAGAAGAGGTTTTCTTTCTGTGCACATAGTAGTAGAATATTTGTCAGTAAAAGCTTTAAAAAAATAGAAAGAATGCTCTGCTGTTTCCTTTCTTCAGAGCAGTTTCAATCTAAGCGATGTTCACTTCAGAAGGCTTGTTCTGCGGCTGCCGCGGTCCTGACTGGGTTTGTAGCTGCCAATTTTAGCACAAAATCCGACAGTCTCGGGGTTCTGGGCTTTCGGCTGGTTGTGTTGCTGAATCCCCATGAAAGAGCAAGAAGTAAGGAGTAGAGGCAATCCTTCATCTTTGGAGAAGGAGCCTTGCAGACTTTAGTACATGTAATAAATTAGGAGTGTGTCTCTTAAACTTGGGTTGTAACTACAGCCGCTTGGAACGCGTTCTCCTGTTCAGCTCCTGTCACGAGGAAAAGATGTGTATCCGCGGAAAGCCTTGGTAAAAACTGGGGTGAATGTTTCTCTTGAGGGTAGTAAGAAATGATTAGAGATAGCGTGATATAAAACCACCCTAGTTTCATTGCTTTTGAGAATTGAGCTTCATATTTAATACTTCTGTTAAGAAGAATTGTGGCACTACTGGCAGCGACTGTTTTCCTAAAAATAAGTTGGCCGCTTGTGTTAGGAAGGATGCTTGTGTAACACGGAATAATTGTAACTGGTTCATTTGCAATATGTTAATAGCTGATGTTCTCTCGAGATTTTTTGTGTTAGGGTCTCTTTTCTCTTTCCTGTCCTCTCTTCTTTTCCACAAGTTATTGTAAGTTTGATGTGCTTAGTGAGTAAAGCTGCTGTTGTGTGTTTGCGACTCCGCGGGGGTCCAGCTGTGAACCAGGCAGCAATTCGTGCAGCTGGGAGATGGGGCTCAGCGCGGTGGGCCTCTCCCGAGATCACCCCTCGGCCTGTGCCTTGGAGTCGTAGCTCTGCGGAGTTTTACACGTCGCTGTCGGGACTGGTGCTGCAAGCTCGTGCTGGCTGAGAACTCCCGGCTCTCCCTCGCATCCCGATTTGCCATCGCGTCAGCGAGAA